GCGTAATAAACAGTACCACATGAAAGTACTGCTCAATAGCTTTCATTTGAATGGTCACACACTAGGGTTTCATCCACAGACTTAAAAGTGAGAACCACCTTTTACAGCATAATAAACAGTACGACATGAAAGCAAAGCTCATCAGCTTTCATTCGAATTTTCACACATACAGTAGGGTTTTATCGTCAAAATAAATAGTTAGAACCAAAATAGTTAACTCAAGTTGTCGCGCAGGCAGTGAAATAATTCAGTAGAGTTGTTATGAAAGAGGATTGTGCACTTCAGTGTGGTGTACATGAAGCCCTTTTCATAATCTTCCGTCTTCTTGACTGCAGGACGTGGCTATTGATAAGATTCCAAGTGAAGACCAGGTTGGTGTGGACTCCATCGTGTTATTTCCCCAGGGAAGTTATGGTGCTACTGAGGGCAACAACATCGGAGGAATGAGATTCCATCAAGGAATCATCACGCGCGTTTACAAGGTTTGTTCTAACTTGGCCAATTTCCTATGATGTGACTGGTGCAGCTTAACACTGTGCCTTTAAAGGAGCTCAATCACGGTATTTTGAGCTATTTTGACCACATACAAAATTACTTTTAAATTGAAAGAAACCTGAAAATAGTAGTTTACTGAGATAGAAAAACACCAAAGAGAGAACAATAAACCATGAAGGAACAAGGATGGTTAAGGATGGAGAAGATTAACACGGATTGAACTTAAACAATTTAAGCTAAACTTTTCAAGATACGCAAACGTAGCTCCTCTAATCAGCTTTTTAATGTCCCACACATCCCTCCTTCCATCCGCGCTTTGCCTCCCCCCCTGTTTAACGCCTGCTACGCAGGTTAACAGCAGTACTTAAGTCTATCGTTTTGACATTCACAGGATTCTACTGGAGTGTGTAGATATGAGGGGCATCACACCAAAGGAGAGGCAGATGGAAAATGGGTCACGTATAAGGATTACAATTTTAACTTTTCTGGTATACCTCTACAAAATCTCCGAATCTCTCCCAACGCCATGGATGCTCTTATGGCCTGCCAGGAGGCCTTTAGTTGAGAATTCTCTACAGTGTTAATCACAAGTGTACTTCAATATCACAAATTAATGAAACATAATCGCTATCGTATCAAATGGTGCAATCGTAGTCTGTAAGCAGGCCCCTGAAAAAGAAAACGGCCGACGAGTGGAGCTAGCCGAGTGTGGTCTTGGACGAGCGGAGCGTGCCGAGTGCGGACTAGTGGAGAGGAAAAAATGGCGAGGCAGCCTCCCGCGCTCGGCTTCACACGCCGAATTTTTCCGCGTTCGCTGGGAGCCTGTTTAGAGACTAGTGCAATAAGAATTCATGTGACTGGTGGCTAGTGTTTGACAGTAGCACACAGTCAAACCTCCTTA